AGTAATCATGTTAACCTACATTTCTGTGGTCTTTGTTTTTTGTCTCTAGCTCTAATATGGAGTTGATGAGAAAGTATCACTATAGTTAATCGAGATTACAATTGTTGGTATTTAGTGTATATGTATACATATATAGATCTGAATGCATAGAGGGCACTTGAACTGGGACTAGCCTTGGTAGACTGTTTGTCGTAACGGGCATACGTGTGTTTTTATTCCTCGTACTAGGAGAACGCTTATTCCTTCTAGAACGAAACAACAAACCTGATATGGTGAAAAAACAATACGTCGTTTTCAACTTAAGCTGATTAAGGATCAAACACCTTTTTTCCGAATTAAGCTGCACAGCGCACAGTAATTACCTACCAAATTTTTCCATTTGTAGTTTGTGGGGGGCATCTACTGGTGAGCAAAATCTAATTTCCTATGTGATTAAATTCGAATTTTTTCAATTATAGCAATTTTCGATATTTTAAACAGGGTCTGAAGTCCGTTTGAATTTTCTCTCTACATTTTCTTTTAGAAGAAGTGTTTTGAGTTTTTAATTAGCCAACGTACGACCATGTGTCCTCCGTGTACATGAATAGCTGACGTTTTGAAAGTCATCCTATAATTGTGTGATGTTACTTTGCCCTCGATACAGGCGACCCATACAACTTTTTATGTTAAAACTAGTATGGCTCATCTGGCCTTTGTTATAACTCCTGCGTCGTCCTCGTGCTCCGGCTGGGCGGACTTATACTGCTCGTCAAGTCGTGCAATAATCTTCTGCTGCTGATTCCAGAGTTCGGGGGTGTGCACATCGACCCAACGACTATCACAAGCAGTGCAATCCGATGGTCGAAAAACCGCTCGAACTGCATCTTGTCCGAACCCTGGTTTGCGAACGTGTCAAAGAAAACCACAAAAGCGGCATATAGAGTAAAGCTAGAGTTGGTACACGGCCATCTGTCTAACATCAGACACATTCGTATCTGGGTCTCATTTGGTTTTGAATCATCATATACATAATACTTTTTTTTTTTTTTTTTTTTTATTAAAGTCACGTAACAGGTAATATTTACGCTGATTTATTTTTACTAACATATCCAAGGATTTATCTGATCGTGTAGCAAAAAAATGCGCATTTCCTAAGAGAAGCGATCGTTGCAATGATAAATTAATAATTTAGTGTTTAAAAGACAGGTTAAGGAAAGGGTTCATTCGATGTCGTATATCAAAGAGTATGAAACCTAGTAATTTTACCTATATGCAGATTTCGGTGTTTGGCTTGATTGTGAAAGAATATCATAAGCATCCTGTCTGATTAGCAACTCACCACACCTAGCTAGCAAACCTTTTGGTATTGTTTCACGCAATGCTATATCCGATCTCCTACACACGTCGACTAAACGTAGGTTAACCTCAAAAGAAGCTTGTTGATCTCGGTTACGTTCTTAGCTTTTTAGAAATCTGTAACTTACTCCGAAAAATCCAATTTGACTTTCTTGAAACTGGCATTTTTCTCTATCTGTTTGTAACGGGTATCTGTTTGCAATGTATCACTTTAACATAATACATTCATATTGTCCTCAGATCGGTTATTTTATAAGCCGTATAGTAAATCTGGGGATTCTCTAGACAAGTGTTTACTCACTAAAACTAAAAGATTATAAACACAATATGACCGAACAGAAAATTTCTCTACTTGTGAAAAGCGACTATCGTGCATACGGCCAGCTAGTAATTGTCAGCTTTTTTCCACGCTGCAATTACACCATTTGCGTAACCTAATGTAATATCGCCCATAGTGTTTTTTAAGGACCACGCGCGCTTGCTCAGCCGGTGTAGAGCGCGCATTAGGGTGAGTAGATAGGCAGTATAGTAGTTGTCAGCCGTTCTTTTAGGTAGGCGTTGTGGTCTAGGTTCGAAGCATGGGAAAGGCACACCTTGTTTTAGTAGGGCTACTCCAAAAATACGTACACCATTGGATATAGTGTACTTCATAGGTTGTTTTAGTTTATAGACTGGAGTTACAAACGTTATTAAGTGAATGGAAAGTGACGTAGATCGATGGAGTTAAACCTCATGCATCGAATAATTGGAATGAACGTTAAACTCAAAATACATTTAATGTATAATAATGAGTCACGGTATAATACCGCGAGTAACCAGAGTACAGGTTTAGCGAGCGGAATGATTAATGGTGTTTAGCGTAACATTGTTGAAAAACGATCTACCTTTTAGTATCACGCCGATATTGTTGCTAAGAAAAATCAAACACCATTGCGGTTTAGGGCGTATAAAATGCTCAGACCATATTATTTGATACTGATGCACGTATAAGGGGAAGAGCTAAAAACCTCGATCTCAAAGAACTACAGTGTCATCGCTTTCTTCATCCGCCTTAAGCAAATTTGAACTTCAGAGCAAGATATGATTAGCAAAAAACGCATGCATGCATGCGTTACATGTTGAACGAGAGTCAGGTAAGTTAGCGTTCGTAAAATACCTAAACTGTGTACCAGCTACCACAGTTCAATTTAGAGATTGAAAAGTTAAACAAAGCAATTTAACATATGTCTTATATCTGCGCCTCTAAGTGCCTCTTGACAATGATTTCTTCCGTAATGAAGAAAATATATAGAACCTCATAATATTGTATATCTCACAAGAGAAATTGAGTGGCAAAAAAGTAGCTTCCTCCTGCCGCAACCGCATGGAAGAATCGCAGTAATATATACTGCAGTTTTTCCTTCTACTAAAGACTAACTAAAAAGCTATTGATTAAAAACATAGTCAGACATAGACGATGAAAACGCATAACCCAGCGCGTGCTCAGCCTAAGCTACACACATATTGGGATAAAAGTAGTCGTGCATAGCTCGCTTCGTGCCTTGAATAAAGCACATTAGATATAGCAGAACATATGACATTTCCCATGACCTTTATATTGTACTTACCCTAGGGACTCACCGGGTGAGAACAGGCCGAGAAACGAATTTGGATGTTCTAGCGAGCTCAGGCCACGGTCACAACACAAGACAACAGTGAGATTGAAGGACATGAAGGCGCTAACGTTGAATTACCCATTAGTTGCGTGCCGTTAGCGTTCTCCTTTTACATGGAACGGCTCCCATCTTTTATTTGATGAGCTTGCGATTTCCTATATAACCAAAAGCCATTGTACATGCCGTTTGACTGCTGGCAGAAGTGCGGGCCTTTGGCTGGTGCATGCGAAAATGAGCACTACAAACCGTTTATTTGGTCGATTTATGTTCTGTAAAGTTCCTAAAATTATAGTTTGTATCCGACCATATAGGAGAAAGTGGCCTTCTTATGCTCTCAAGGTATCGAGATTAGTAATGTCAGTGCTTGCTACCCTATGCGGTAGTAATTTTACCATTAGTCAGAAGTAAGAGATAGCACTCCCGTCTGGTCGTACTGTCATTCTGAAGCGATTCATGTATAACTACCGAAGAGTATAACAGTAATAATAGTGGTCGCAGTAGTAATAATAATAATAAATAGCAAACTCACGGATTAGCTCTAGTAATTAGTACTCACGGGAGTAGTTTCTAAACAGCCATTGTTAAAAGTTTGAAGTAAATTATCTTATGAACAAACCCGACTGCAGCAGGTTCTGTTATATATATATATATATGGTGTGTATTGCGAATACGTTATTAATAAAAACTGTGATGACGTTCATGTTTGTCAAACGTAATTACAGTGAGAACGTCACAGTGAGCTGTTAATATCAAGTGTTTGTGTATCGCAATGAGCGCCTATTAAGAGATAGTTTGACCACATTAAACTCGATTATCAAAACGGTGTTAATATCTAACTTTTTGTAGTCTCTTGTTTACTTAGTAATAAAAAGCAGTGCTTTACTGCAGGACAATCTTTGCTAAGGAACTGTTTCGGCAGAAATGGGAAAAGGAAGGCATCCAATCTGAAGCATGACATTTGTCGTAAGCTCCTCTGAACTTTAGGAAAATTTTTTGTTGGGCTGAAAAATTGCTGAATGGAGCCTCTGTTGACCAGGCTATTGCCCCCATCTATATCGCACAATGACATTTCATGGCCCGCTTACACTGGCAAAAAAAACTCGCGGCAAAACTTGCCCTTGTCCTATCTTGTCGTGGTACTCCACTTGCCGCAGCTCTCCTTCCCACGCCCTACTCAATCTACATTTGTAGACGTGGCTCGACTCGATATAGAAGACTTTAGGGGCATCACTAGCACAGCATTTTGCCGAGGTTGAACACAGTGAGTGGAACACACACAAAGCTACTACGAGGGGTTCTTATGAAAGTGGAAATTACAAATTGGTGCAATGTCTATCCCAGGCAGCCGGTTCTAGACGAAAGGAGGAAGTTGAAATCGAAACGGGACCATTGGACGACGTGTGGTGTTTGCCTGAGTCTGCTGCACGCTGGCTAGCTAGTAAAATGAAAACAGCCCCTACAGCAGCCCTGGAGGAACATGAGATAAAAAGACTATGGCGCGGCAATGAAAACTTCCTCACTGAGGGAAGAATTACTGACGATTTCCAGCCAAAACGGTAAGAATCGTGGATAAAAAGAAATTGTGGCGTAGCGGCGCCGTGATAACAATAAGCACTTATCCGCACATTCGAAGTTAGAAACAGAAAAGAAGAAAGCGATGCGCGTCTACTTCTTGACTTGTCTTTTCGTCGTGTATTGTCTCAGGAGAAATCACAGTTGACTATTCTCACTCAAGCCGCAGCGGGCACAAATTGGAAGTTGGCCCAAGATTTGTCAATGCTTGCATATGTCCCGTGAGCTTCTGCTGCGGCTCGCCACGAATCCCGACAGCATTTATAGGGCACCATTAAACGAAGGGTAGTGAATGTCTATAATGGTAATGATGATACTGGAACCGTTCTGAAACCACATCAAACCCAAATTAATGAAATAAATAGATTAGTGCAATACGGCTTAAATCTACACCAATACCAGCTGCTGCGATACGCTGTTATTGATCAGCAATGTCGGATGCATTTGCCACAGAGCTGGGTTTCTGGATTGGCCAAGCTTTGTTGAAAATAAGATGAGTGCTGCTGAAAAGCCCGTGCCCATTCAGGCTAACCAGCTCTACCGTTATCAGAAAACTGCACGACCAAACGGGAAACTCGTAAAAATACTCAGCACCAAACATCTGCATACTGAATGCTTTTATATGTGCGTAAAAACGCTCTCAGAGATTTTGGACTCGCTAAATTTTCTGGACGACGAAACTCACTTCTAAATCTTCCTTACCTTGTCAATTTCCAAATCCTAAATCAAGTCGGAAAAACTGTTACGGTAATGGAGGGTAGCCCTGCTTTACACCGGGTTTATAAGCCCGGAGACATCATGATCGAGGAGGAGCCCTACGCCTGCGCCGTTGACACGCAGTACTTAGCATCCGTATGCAGCTATTGCATCCGTCGAGAGTCCAGCGTACGATGTCCTTTGTGTAATAGTCTCAGTTACTGCAGCATCGAGTGCAAGGTACCTGGTGGGTTTGTAGATATCGGTTTATATTGATGCAGCACGTACGTCATTATTAAAAATGTATCGTGCATTCAAGAATTCTTCATTACACGTTTATTTCAAATAATTTGGCTAGTATTAACCAGTACCTATTTTGCGTTGCAATCATTCTCATACGCGTTTTAGTATCCACAAAGAGGGTGATCCGATTTTGAAAACGGGAAAAATTTTATGGTGAGAGCTAGCTGTCTCAACGAGACGTAAATTCCTAAAGCTAATATTAATGGAGGAGTGGAGGGGGGGGGGGGGGGTGGAAGAGTAAGGGGTTGTATTTCTCGAAAGCATCGACAGGTTAGTCGTAGTAAGTTGTGGTTAGTATACTGAAAACTGTTATGCCTCAATCTACGTTTGAATAATTGCTGCGCTAAGACGTAGTTTGAAAGTTGAAGTTATTGATGATTCGATCGCGCGCATCTTTACGTTTATACTGTGTTTGCAGAATAAGGATGTTTTGTATCATAACCTCGAATGCAAAGTGCTGCAAGCGGTACGTGCCGCAGGAGGTCATTCAATTGACGGCGAGATGCGCTTAGTTGTTCGTGCCCTGGACCGCTCAATCCGCGAACGTGACTCCAAAAAATTGTCTGTGGGTGACTACTTTGGTCATAAGCGTACCTTTGATGATTTGATGCAACATTTAGATAAACTTTCGCCGAACGAGCTAACGAACTCGAAAGGATTATCGCATACCCTCTTTCTTCTAACAAAAGATCATGTCCAAACGACACCCGAGGAAATTTTGACCATTATGGATAAGTGCCGAATCAACTGTCACGCTCTTGTTGATCACAACTCACCCCATGCGTTCGTTCGGGGTCGCGTCGTCTATTTGGGAGTGTCGAAGATGAATCATTCCTGTGTGGATGTCAGCTATGTCCAGGTGTTCGACGGACGCAAGTATACGCTACGGGCTCTCACTGAAATTGAAGTGACTAATCCGTTGAGTTTAACTATTCACTATGTGCCACCCACTTTACCGTTTAAAACCCGCCGGCGACGCCTACTTAAAAATTATCACTTCGTCTGCGAGTGTCCGAAATGCAAGCTGCAAAATCAGCAACCGAATGTACCTGAAGCTGACGAGCGACTGGTAACTCGAATTGAAGCCGCGTTCCAGAATCGATATCCATATTCCAGATGGTACACGATGGGGCACGAGTTTCTCAATTTATTGAAGGCCCTTCCCGAGACGAATTTCTACGTGAACTGGGTATTAAGCCAAATGCAGTGGTCTTGCAAGGAGCTGGGTCACCACGAAGAGAGCATATTTTATGGAACACGCGCCTTGCTTGGTTCCATCTCTGTACTATCCTTGGAGCGCATCTTCTACACCATGTGCGAATCAATGGTTATGCTGGGCTGGACCCAACCTGAACATAAAAATCATACAACTTTTTTAACAACACGTCAGTTTACCAAAGAATTATACAAGCTCACTCATGGTATGAACCATAGTATTATGCGATCGCTTGACATCATGATTGACGCTACAGAGTTCGAGCAAAAGAGCCCGGAGGTTGAAACTACCCTTTCAGCTAACTGGTACCGGTCTCTTCCGACGCCATTTTTACGTTTCGCGAAAATGCTCGAAGAACAAATTAAGAACAGCGCAATGGGCAAAATTCGCGGTGGAGGGGCGGAAACTTGCCTTCCTTACGGAAGATCGAAGTACGCTTCAGCTTATCAACGGCCGTATGGTCAATCTTGGCCTGTGACGCAACGAACTCGTCCGCATCACCTACACTGTATGAGTTCCATTAGGAAAATGCCTCCATAATGTTATAGGCAAATCCCAACCCAAAATCCAATTACTAAACAAAATTGCTTCAAGCCTTGCGACCTTTTACTTTTGATTTACGAGTTTATCGCAACGAAAAGCAGGTATTTAGAAACTGAATAGTCCAAACATTGACAAACGGGGTCCGTAGATCTTTACACGTCCTTAATGTTATCCATTATTATATGCTGTTGCAGGATTTAGAATTGTTACAAACTAATTTAGTTTACCAAAAGCCGGGTTAGTGTACGAAAATGTTGATGAAAACGATTAAGCTCGCCGGTCTTGTTTGCTTTCTTTTTTCTTTAAACTAGATTAGACTAGTAGGCGCGACATCCCCGAGGCCTGCCACCAAAAAGTAAAGATGTAAAAAAAGAGCGCAAGTAAAATGCGTTTCATATATATATATATATAAACTTAGTTTATAGTTTACACTAGGTTTATTCATCTACCCGATAAGCTAATGCTCTTTGAGCAGTGTACAACAAAAAGCGTTATGACATAAGTCTATGACCGCTGTAGTAATACTTATCGTATCGTTCTAGAGAAGCCTGCCTGCCATGCTCAATTACTACGATAGCTAGTTTAAGGCTCATTTGTTTTAGGAAAATTGTTCGACAATCGCAGTCTGTTGCAAGTTTTTGCAGTCGTAAGCAAACGCTTCACAAGGCGGTCACTGCTCTTATCATTTTGCAGTTGTACGATTGGGTTTTTCTCGCTCTTGTTGCAAGCATACCACTGTAAACTGGCATTAATCTACAGGTTCGGTCTGAAGAAACCGCTTTTAGAATTTGATTTTCAAAATGTATAGCGCATGTAAAATAAGTTCTGCATTATAGGAATTAGCAATTGTTAACAAAGGCTGCAGTACAAAATTTTTGGCAAAAAACTGATGCTTTTAGCACCTAAAGGGGCCACTCCAAAGCTAATGTGTCAAACGTGTCCGTCCGTTTACCCCCTAATCATCATGAAGTGACTAAGTTTCAATTGGGAAATGAATCCGGGTTCCAGCGGCTACTACCTGTACGGTGTCCTGTGTACCTTTCAATGGCCGCAGTCCGTTTCCTGTGTATGGGACAATTATTTCTTCCTATCTACATCTACCCTTGTACATTTTACATACTCGGCAGCTGCAGATGAATAAAGTGTATAATGGCAAGGTTGCTGTCTACGCGAATTAAGTAGTTTCCAAACAAGTCGGGCATGAGAATAATAGGCCAGTCATTCAATGCAATTAAATACACTACGTAGAGAATGACAGAAGACCACGTGCGGAACAACCGTAACTGAAAAGCTGCAAACAGGCCCTCAGAATGAATGCTTTTTTCTTTTTAAATAAAATTGAACCCGTGCAAAAGATATTGATAACAAGATATTTTTATAGATGGAATATTTGTTTTTTTTATAATTTTAGGGATGAAATGAGGTTCAGTACCGCCGTTAGGTCTTCCAGCAGGCGGGCAGCTGACTTCTAGCACAATGCGAAGCAGTGTTTATGCTCGAATTTGAACCTAGGCCAATGAACGCCCCTATACTTAATAAGAGGACACGTTACCACCACCTTATTAGCGGCTCTCAAGACATGCACAAATTAAAACTAACTTATAGATTGGGATGTATCAGCTCTTATTAAACTGAAACCAACGGAAAAATTAGTTTTTCGATAGTTTTTTTTCTAAATGGTTTCCCAGTCGCCTGGGAATCGTTCTTGTTCCTATATATAATATGAAATAAACAGTTGCAAAAGTTACTGTGTTTTGAGAGTATCGTATCAGTATTGTTTATGCAGTAACGAGTTCGATTTCTCACTTTGTGTCCACGACTGCGTCATGCGACGAGCTTAAAGTGGCACTATATTGTCTTTATCGTTGTGTCGGCTCTATATATACCAGAAATGGTTATAAGAGTATTTGTTGATTACTTCTATGCATACATGTGTAGCTATGGAGTCTGGAACGACTCCCAGTTCACGGTGTTCACGCCCCCACAACAGTGTGTTACGGTTAGAAAACATATGAGAATATAGTTAAGTCAAAAAAAAAAAAAAAAAAACAGCAAAAAATTCGGTCCAACTTCATATTTGTACGATTATAATAATGATAATATCACACCTAGCATAAATTCTCGGGGGTCACATATCGAACTTTTTCATTTTATTAACTTACGACCTATTGAATAGCGTCAAGGCCCACAGTGGGAAAGCTTAAGTACTCAAAACATCACAATTTAGGGGGTATTTTATACCTTCATATTCTGTCCAGTATATTATTTAGTAAGCACTATTATACTGTGGAAGCGAAGTAAATAATTTCGTAAGATTACAGTTGTGTAAACAAATCTATTCACTAGAGCTAGGTGACTTGCAGAATACCCTTTTCTTTTCTTTTCTTTTCTTGTTCGTCTTTTCATCATGGTATAAAGTACGTTGCATTCAAAACAGGCAACTTGCTATTGGCCTCACACTCTGCATGATGATAGTAGTCATCGAATGTTTGGACGCTAGTTCACAATAAAAAGCTGCCCAAGTTAACGCTAATTGCACGAAATCCACATAAAGCATGATAGTCGTCATGTCTACGTAAGGAATATAATCAAAATACTCTCGCCGTAGCAGGCATTCCTGTAATCTTCAACGGTGTCAAGATTCAAATCTTCAGGGGCCCTTTCAACACTGCTCATCGAAGAAAATTATTTAAGAACTAGTAGACTTAGAGGTACAAGCGATATCTAGCGTCCAACAGATAAGACAGTTTTAACAATCCATTCATTAGATAGTCTCCGCAGAAAATTTAGGGAACTAGCGAGGCTTCAATTCGAGCGAAGAAAATGACGCTTAAATTATGCTCAGAGATAGCATCTCAGGTAACTTAAAATCCGTAAGTTCGTAATTATCTATGCGCACATTGAAATAGACTTGTAGGTAAGGTTGCATTTAATTGTACCACAGTTTTAATCTTATCAGTGCTATAAAATTATCAAGACCGCTGAAAATGCGCAACGGGACGCGACTGATAGTTTCTGCTATTTCACACCTATGAACGCACATCAACACCAGTTAGGACCGGTCTCTGTCAGCTAATATGGTAGCATCCTATTTACGGGTCCTACGAGCAGCATGAATTTAAGGCCTATGCGTGATTCTAGTGTTTCTGCATGAGCTAGATATAGGAGCAAGTGAATGTTTGAAGTATTTACCTAATATGCATTTTATTGACGTTCAATAAGCCATGACAAATAATAGTTATTTCTATTAATAACGAAAAAGCTGTATATAGTATTTTCTTAAAGGGGATTTCACGCTTTTGAAGTCAACTAGGTCCGTGACAGGATATAATGACAGGGATCCCTCTATTTCATAGCGGGCAAATCATTTTTGAAGGTGATCATTATGTCTGGAGCGTTTGCATAAAACTCGTTTCTGACGTGTGTGCCAACCGCTTCATTCGAGCGACAGGTATCAAGTGCCTATCTGGTAATCACACTAACTATAGTAGCGATGAGTGTGAGGTATGTCCAAAAACATGTAAGTATCCTACATAATTTATACTGAGCCATGCTACATGTTGAATCGCTGCGTCAGTGAACGCCGGGAATCTAACGAATCGGTTATTTCTTTGAAGATCGACGCACGTTTTTCGACCTTGTGACCCACGCCAAACTTCGAAGCTGAACGTATAGCAGATTCATTTCGGAGCTACATCGAAACATACTTAGGTTAAACGGTCAATCTGTTATTATTGAAGTGCCGTATAAACGCCCACAAGCTAGCTAACAACGTGATAGCACACAACGTCATACAAGGACGCGCTGTTTACCTCGCCACTTCCAATATCAATCGTTCCTACCTTCGTACCAATTACGTACAGATGTTTCCGTGACGTCTAAGTTAATGATCCATTTGTTATTAATTATATTCCGGCCAATCTTTTATTAGCCCAAAAGCATCTATTAACAAACTACCTGTTTATTTATGGTTCCTTATGGACCAGAGGTTCATAAGGACGTCGCTAGAGGCATTACGCGTGTTTTTCGAAACAGCTATTTGTAGGGAATGATCTTCCTCGATCAACTGACACATCCGACAGAAACAAAGTTCTTTGTCAATTACGTCCTAACTTAACTGGAAACGATGAAACTAAGAGCAACTTGATCAAAGGCATCGAATATGGTAAAAGACGCTGGGCACAAACCTGATCCTATTTATTTTATGCGAATTTATGCTAGATTTTGGATGGCATTTATTGAAGTAGTACTTTTCAGGTACTGTTACTGGCGAAACTCTCGAACGACCGTTACCACTGGCTCGCTCTAGCGACACCGAAAGAACGGGTCTTACTTTGCGCTAACTTTAGCAGGCATTCACCATAACTTCCAAGTCAATTATTTCGCCTTTACCCCATGCAAAACCTATACGGGCTATATCCGCCCATATTTAACCCATATATTACTAGTTAACTACCTATCATCGCTGAGTAATTGTGATCATTGTCTGATTGAACTTATAATTAATAGCAGCCAGATGGTAAGCTTTACTCTAATAATAATACAGCTCACTTTGGTAAAAGCTTCAACAGCCAACAGGCATTTTTCAGATTTTGGTTAATGTACACTTTCTTGATTAAACATTTTTATAACTATAATATGAGTAATTAAAAGAGAACAGCAGACTGTTTAGTAGATGAAGTCATATTTTTTGTGAAAAATAAATTTTTCAAAAAAAATTTTAAAAAACTAGATTAATTTACTTTAAAGTATAAATTGCCTTTATAGGAATAACTCATCGATCATTTTGCTTCAAATAAAGATCTTTACCCTGTAATTGAAAGCATAGATACGCTAAAGGCTATCTTTGTTGTGTTTACCATTAGTTTGTTCTCCATGCCGAGTTCCGTACGCTATTGAGTGCGATCATTTGTTACTCAGGGAAAAAAAACTGTGCAGATCTGTTAAAGTCGCGCGTATTTCAACACGTACTCGATTCGCTTCCCGCAATGGTTTCTATTATATTTATAGGCGGTTTTAACCTAATACACATTGTTATTTTTACCAATTTGTTCGATCTCGGTATTCTACATTATAGATTTGCGTCAATATTTAGATAACCTATTTAGGCTTTTAGGTTCTCATGAGCTGAGACATTGTATTTGATTGACCTAAATGCTGACTTGAGACCTACTGTTTCCAGATGGAATCCAGAGCCCATGATCATTTAAGTGCTGTACCGGATATTATAAAAATTGGATTGGCGAAGTGCCTTCAACTAGACCTTCAATAAAAGCACTAGGTAAATGTATAAAAATGGCAGAAAATGCGATTCATACGGTAGATAAGCACTTGTGTAACACGCACGGCTACGAAATGGCAAAATCCCACTTCGTCTTTACATTATATTAGACTGGCCAATCTAGAAGTAGAAAACTATTAGTCGTTCTCACAAATATTGTCGCAAGTATAGAACTACCCTAAATGTCCATCTGGCCTATTCAGGTAGGACCTTGTTAGGTCTGGTCACGACCACAAAGGCCAATATCTCAGCAGTAAAAAACACACATAGATATGCTGCCTTTTCCCTGTTTATACGTTGTTCTCAAATAGCTTGTACCTAAAAAAGTTGACGTGGACACTGAGGTAGTAGGGTAAGCTGCATTTAATAATTTTTTAATGTATTGCAGTTTTTTAAGTTTCCCCATGGCAATGCTTTAGCCGAGTCTACCGATCATCCTGCCATTTCGGCGAGGTAAGCGGTAATCTATTAGTAGACCTTTGTTGATTCTGACAATTGCTCAAGATGTTGTTGTTGCTGCTGCTGCACGATACACTTTGCATAGATGACTCAGACCAGTCGTTTCCTGATTTTTTGTGAAGCGGCCGAAATTTCGAGTTGTAACAATAACATAACATGTGCGTATATGTGTATGTTCGTCATGGTAATTACATGGAACATGACTGCTCCGGTCACTTGCAGGGTCAAGCGCCTGCGACTAATAAGGACGAAGCATCGTTGCTTCATGTCGCACCAACGAGACAAACAATCCACGGTTTATGTGGACAAATAAAGCCCTATTTATACATGATTTAATTAATAAACGGAAGCGCTTATGAACTGAACCATCATGAATGGCTGTTCCGTTCGCCACAGTCTGCACGAATTTTAATACCTATGCTCAGTTAATGTCTGGTAGTTGGCCTTAAGCACCAACGAAACAGTCAATGAAGCTTACGCCCCCACACAATGTCTGATTTCTAGGTTGAGCTTGACACTAAACCTCCCGCCATTTTTTAAAAACTCCGTATATTATTCGCTAAGCAATCGCAACGTTCTTGTTTATCGTTCGGCATTGATACTGTGGCAGTAATTTAAAGAACATTTGAATTTTTAGCGACATTTGATTTTATACATTGAACTAATGTCTGCATGAATTGCGCGCTCGAAAAAAACACGCACCGAATAGGCGTAGCATTATTAGTATTTAGCAGATTACAATAATATACGTATACGCCGGCTGCTTTTTGGACGAAGCTACGAAGTAGATAAAACCAATCGGTAGTCTGATCTGATCTGATCTGATCTGATCTGAGCTGAGCCGAGCCGAGCCGAGCCGAGCCGAGCCGAGTTGAAGTTTTGCGGACGAATCTCACTGAACTGAGAATGTCCGATATGTGTTCGGCCTTGCGGTTCCCAGCGGGTTCAGTGATCGTTGAGGAGGATCCGTATGCCTGTTGCCTCGATCAGGACCTGTTAAAAATCATGTGCAGCTTTTGCGTGCGTAAGCGGCCAAACGTTGTGTGCTCTCGGTGCAACGTCGTGAAGTATTGCAATACCGAGTGTGAGGTGATTACATGATTCTGTTGAACCTAAGCCGACCTAACGGGCCGGGACACTACCGCATCTTTTTGAACAAAACGTACATAAATGTTTAGATAGAACCATAGGTCGTTCTGACGCAATTGGGTAACACAACGTTTTCCTACCCTTTCACAGGTGAAAGATAAAGCATATCACGATCTCGAGTGTAACGTCCTTAGGCTGCGAATCAATGAACAATTAGATGAGGAAACGCGCCTTGTGATACGAACTCTCGATCGCTGTGTACGTGAACGCAAGCAAGGCGCTGACTCCATTGGTGATTTCTTCGGCTATCGACGCACGATTTACGACCTAGAGAGTCATGCCGCTGATCTAAACCTGACGAAGCGTGAAAAAGCCACGAGACGAGCTAACTACATATTCGGTTTGGTAAAGGAGCACGTTGACACATCACGAGACCAAGTGTTTGAAATACTGCTGAAATGTCGTATCAACAAAATTACTTTGTTAAATCATCATTCACCTCGCTTTTACTGCTGTGGTAGTGCTCTTTATTTGGCTGTATCGAAGATGAATCACTCTTGTGTCGAAGCTCCTTACGTGCAGATTTTCGACGGACGAAAATACACTTTGAGGGCCCTTCGTGATATTCGGGTCGATAATCCACTCACGCTGACGGTACATTACGTACCTCCAAATATGCCGTTTGCGCAACGCCAGAAACATCTTCTGCACAATTATTATTTCATATGTAACTGTGCTAAGTGCTGTTGGCAGGCCCGACACCCAATACCAGAGGCTGATGAAGCGATTGTATCCCGTATCGAGAAAACGTTCCAGACAGCCCCCGACTACAACGCTTGGTATAATATCGGCAAAGAGCTTCTTGCGAAGCTCCACGATCTTCCTGATAGCAACTTTTACGTCAATTGGCTTTTAACACATACGCAGTGGACGTGCACGATGGTGGGCCACTTAGAGGAGAGTATCTACTACGGGTCGCGAGCCTTGCGAAGCACTGATATAGTTACCACCATCGAAACGATATTGTTTAGCATGTGCGAATCGATGATAAAGTTGGGATGGCATAAACCGGAGAGCAAAAAGCAGATAGCTTTCGGCCAAGCTGTTAAGTTGGCCAAGAGTCTGTTCGTACTAACTCATGGCGCGAATCACAAACTATATAGAGCGCTGGAGTCCATGCAAAAAGCTGGCGAAGACGCGTATCAGTATGCACATCAAGCAGGTGATTTCCAACGCGGAAACACTTTGCCGCCTTGTAATCCGACGGTATTTGGTCAGTCGGGAAGACCTAGATACGCTCATTCCTTTCCAGGAGCTAATCAGTTGGGCGATGCTGGCGCCGCTACCCCGTCCATGACTTGGCAACCCTGGATGACTTATCTACCCCGGCTACTTGCGTCTGTGCTTCCCCCACAGTTCTCACAGGTGCCATCTAGGCCGTGCTTAGCTACTGGAAATCCTACTACCCCGCGCTGTCCAATCATTCAGCAGCTTCCCAGGTTTCCCAGTCCCACAGGAAGGTTCTCGGCACCGAATCCTCCACCGATACGTCCATCGATCCCAATCCGGCAATTAAGCTAAACTTCCGTTCGTATTTCATTGAACCTGCCCATCAAACCTGACGCATATGCTTCTTTACAGGATTTAATCTGATATTCAATGATATCTAAAAATGTATGGCTTTGCCGAATTGAAATTAATAAACTTAAGTCAGATTTTACCGTGAGTCTGCTTCTGACATATAATCCTTTGATTCTCAATGCCGTGCAATTACTATAAGGCTATTAGGTATGGGAGATAGTAACTACTATAATAACGCACACGGTTGAGCGACGTATACGTAAACAAAGCGAAAAGATTAGAGAATCAGAAAATCAATTCTTACGATGTATTTCCGTGGACACTTTGTGACCTAGGTTCTTCCGCGTTACGATTTATAAATGACCCGCCTACAGCTGTTCAAATTGGTTCGCAAACACTGGAAACATAGTGCCTAGACATTTTGTTTTTAAAATATTCTTGGTTGTTCATCATTGCTCATCAGGCAGTTATTAAGAATCCAATGATCCGTCTTCACTGCAGTTCTGTTGTCCTTCTGGAAGTAGGGTAAGGTGAACAGCGACGTGGTAGAGAAATAGAAGAAAGCTTGAGTTATAAATTAGCCTATTCACGATGCAAGCTAAATGTTCATTATACTCAACACGGGATAGGAAAACGGAGATAAAAGAACCCTGCCAGCATTCAAACAATGTTGGAGAGACATATGGGAAGGTCGTGCTGCCACACAAGCGATCTCGAAGCTCAGGACTTATAGGAATATGGAAGGAGACCTCATCAAGAGTGAATGCTTTACGTAGTCAGGCGGCCTAGGCCACGAATGGGGCGAAGACTTTAAGGACGTCATTTAGGAGGGCCGTGAGCATATGTCCTAGGCTTTATGGCAATATTACAGTTAAAACTTTACGGCACGCCTAGCTATTTTAACAGTATCAAGAAGTAAGATTGGTTCCAATCCACAACTGGCTCGTTGTCAAGCGTAGCGTAAAATAGGTCCGACTACATTGGTCAGAGGCGAAGTAATGAGGGCGCTGATGTATAACGATGAGGTCTGATTTTGATGTACCGGTGATGATCATCGTGGAAAGTCTTATATTAGCTATCGCACTTTCATGTGTTTTGAAGGAGTGTTAGTTTATACGTACCTTAAATTATTAGTCAATAACATATTAATCAATTATCAATATGTAGTAATTAGCTCTGTGAAGTAACAATTGTAACAAAATGAAATAATAAATAAGAATAAAACATAAGTAGATAAAAGAATATTGCACAAATTGTATTCTTTACATCTCTGACGCGCACTTCACCTGAATGCCTTCAGCACACAAATTTTATTTGCAATTTTATATATTTATTGCACGTTTTATTTAAAAAAGGGATTTTTAATATATATATATATAAAAAATAAGTGTTTTTTGTAGATGCGGTGACGATTACAGTTAGCCTGTTGAAGGCTCTTTTTTCGACCTACTACTAACGTATAGCAGGCCAATAAACACACGGTAGTTTCTTACACTTCATTTTTTTGTTGGCATGATAACAAAAATGATGGCTATCATACGATTTTTAGCCATAGCCTTGTTTAACAAAATGGCTTTAACAGACAATTTTTCAACCAGTAGTTAAAACACATTGTGTCGAGTTACGTTGTGAATACGAATCTTTTCAAATACAAAACAGTACACGTCGATGCCGGATATTTGCTATTTTTTTTCCCAATAACAAACCGCAATAACAAACTGCTAAGTGTTATTAACTTACGAACTGCTAACCCTATTGAAAGCTATCTAAACGTCGTTACTTATATTAAATTTTTGAACTGGATTTTTGAACGAATTTTGAATTTTTCTGTCCAGGCCTACTAGTGGTAATTGCATATCTCTCACGTGATAGTCATAAGCTTACTAGCCATCTTGAGCAACAACGAACCGGGCCTCGCGGCGGCCGGCAGTTGTATCATATTCGATGCTCTCCAAGTGGAATGGGTCGAAGACGTCAAATGGCGGACCTAGCTTACCTCTTCGTTACACCGCGGGTGAAATTATGATTGAGGATGACCCGTATGCCTATGTGATTGATTCGGAATTATTCGGACTAGTTTGCAGCTACTGTATTAAAAAAAGTTTCGGCCTTCGTTGTTCCTGGTGTAACTGGATAACCTATTGTAATAAGGATTGCAAGGTAACTGATGAAAATGGCTAGGTTAGGTAGCCTCACGTAATAGTTGGTCCTGGAGATTATTGTTAGCGAATTATCTCAGGCTCAGCTCGCAAGTACTGCTCTTGTCCTATGCGCGTCTGCTATGCGTACTTGATATCGGGATCTTTTCCAGAAAGGAACTTGTAGCACTGTATGAATAATTGGCCATATACCTGTCCCTGCCCCGGTTTCGTAATCATTTATAGGCGGTAGGACCATTGTCGCTGGCTGTTATGTCACTTGAAGTAATTCTATACCTTTCGACCCTGCTTTTTTCTGAATATATAGAGAAAGGACAAAGTCTACCACGATTTGGAATGTAAGGTCCTTCAGAGTTGCGGGAAGGATGACGATCTGCCGGATCAGGAAACGCGCCTTGTGATCCGGGTCATCGATCGTTGTCTCCGCGAGCGTCGTACTGGCTGCGAATCAGTCGGCGATTATTTCGGTTGTCGACGCACGATCAAGGATCTTATCGGACACATCGATCATTTGACAGCTGAAGAACGTAAATATGCCGAAAGCCGGGCACAAATGATATTTGATTTAATCAAAAGCCACATCGTCACTACAGTCGAGGAGACACTCGACCTTCTCCAGCGATGTCGCATCAACTGCCATTCCCTAGTCGACCATAACTCACCGCAATACTTCTCTCGAGGGCGAGCTGTGTATCTCGGCGTTTCGAAGATGAATCACTCGTGTGGTCCTACTGACTATGTGCAAATTTTCGACGGACGAAAGTATACCCTACGGGCACTCCGTGACATACAAGTTCATGATCCGTTAACGCTGACCGTACACTACATCCCACCGACGCTGCCGTTAGCGACCCGTCAAAATCGTTTACTTAACAATTACTATTTTATATGCAACTGTACGAAGTGCGTATGGCAGTCTCGTCATCCTGAAACCAGTGCAGTTGACGAAGAGCTCGTCGCAAAGATTGAGCATACGTTTGAAGTGTCCCACGGCTATGAAGATTGGTTAACTATTGGAAAAGAGTTTCTCAATGAACTTGCAAATCAACCAGATAGTAACTTCTATGTCTACTGGTTGCTCATTCAAATGCAGTGGACTTGTGCTGAACTTGGCCGTTACAACGAGAGCGTTGAATACGGCACGCGGGCATTAGAAGGAGCTGAATCGATACTATCATTAGAACCAATTCTATTTAGCATTTGTGAATCGATGGTAAAATTAGGTTGGAATAAACGACACAATGAAAACTATCCCCGATTTGCGAGCACTATCAAAATGGCAAAGGATTTATATCTCGTTACCCATGGATCTGACCACAAAATCGTACGTTCGCTCGACGTCATGAAGAAAGGTGGCTCATGGTGGAGGAAGATTTTTAAGAATAAGGACACGAGTAAACTCTTAAGTGAATCAGTAGTAAAGGATGACACTGGTAAAACTACAGTAGCGTCGGCCTGATGCAGATATGAGAGAGAGAGTGAGAGAGGGGAGAGAGAGAGGGGGAGAGAGAGGGAGAGAGAGAGGGGGGGATCAGTGTCAGGTACAGTTCGAACACATACGTCAAATTCATTAATAAAATTAATAGCATTGCACCCAAATAGTAAGTGAAAATCCCATCTATAATAGTAAATTTACACTCGCCGATGAAGACGGGTTTTTTTCGATTCGACAATTAGAGTCACTGCAATGGGCTGCCATCTTCTAAAGGGGCAGGCTGGCTAAGCTCAAACACTTGTAGAACAAACTACCGAGTTTGCCGAGACTGCGCGGGTTAATTGTACTCGAGCACAGACAGTATATAGATAATCATTACTATAATGATTGTTTTATAGTGATGACTCCTTTCTAATAAAGGAGTCATCACTGTTTATGTTTAGAGACACTTTTTGTGCTGCCTCTCTGTGTATTCATTTGTATTTGGCTATACTCGGCACAACTAGTCCAAAGTTATATACAGAGACATAATGTAAACATAGATCATAATTCTATCGCGGTATGCAAGACATGCTGTAGAAGTTTCTCGTATTCACTAACCACAAGTATGGCCGTATTGCTGCTTAAGCTAGGAGATTGGTTTCCTGCCTGTGGTGACGTGAGTTTTAAGGTGCGCCTATGGAGCGTGTTGAGCAAAAATTGAGGATAGGCAGCAGCTACACATGTCGCATTGAACAGCTCGTTCTTTTGCCTGATCTTGTATGGTCCTAATCGTTGAGCATTCAGCGTTCCACCACGGTCTGACCTATAACACTGCGGTTCGATTAGAAAATTGATGTACATGATATTGCTTTCCACTAGCATCGTTTATAATATTGCTGTGTAACTACTAACTAGACCGTGGAACCGAGAGATGCAGTTTTAAAAGTGGATGAGGAATATGCCGTGGCATCTTTGTCAGGTTAGTTACGTCGAGTTATGCCCATAAACTTTTGACACCTCTCTCTAATCCCTCGTAGCCAGGTAGCGCAACTACAAAGATATATATATAATATAAAGTTCATAGTATTGATCTACAGCTTTTTAAAATAAGCTATATTATATATGAAGCGAGAACACACGTGGGCGAAACTTGCAAACTTAGACGAAAAATTTTATCGCATCTAAAAAATCAATGATTTTTTAGATGCGATAAAATTTTTTGGAGTTATAAGGCAACCACCCTAGTATAATAGATTAGTTCCTAATAAGTGCTGCTTTCATACCACTCTGCTATAATATAGCGACGCGCAGCGGTGCGACGGTGAACATTTGCGATGTATATTGTTCAACACTGTGTATTTTTTTAACTCTATTTAGAACTGTCGATCAGGCTACCTGCAGAAGCTAGACGCTGTCTCACGCTCAGTCGATCGTCTGAGATTGACCTGGAAGTCTTCATTGGGAAAAACAGAGTATTTCCCACGTAAATTATGGTAGACTTCTTACGAGAAAGAGACACGGACATTGGTTTAGTTTTTGGCCAACCAATTTCAAATTAGGCGGCTTTGCCTATGGAATGGTTATATGGGTGGATGTTGACTTGCTCGTCGTGCGTACTATTTCGTCGGATATTTACATTTCAATACGTAGTGAAGTACATGCTCATATCGAAGTACGACAGTGTGCTGCTAAATGTGTATGGCAGGACTGGTAGGCTTCAGACCGCCTTGCCTCTTAGCCGCTGTGCTGAGGCCATCCACGCTTTATTTACGTAGTCCACGTTTAGTCGCAAACTGTTCATGATAAACAAAAAAACATAACCACGCGTAGACTCTATCACAGGACGTGCATATTTGGGATGAGAGTCCTCTCATAGTATGGGTTCCACAGCTAAGGTCAAAAAGTAGATTCAATGTTTCACTAGGGTCGTCAAAAACTTTTTTAAAAGGACATCGTTCGTGGGTATCCACGTTTGTTCGGGCAGGGAGATTACCTGTACGTCATTCATGCTCGCTAAGGTTTTTTAAAACCGGCGGTGCTCACCCATGTAACCGGGTGTATCGATGGTCTTGTGCATACGAAGCGCCTTCTTGCTAGGAGTGGCGCCCCCAACATCGACCCGTAGACAAATGAATCCCATCTCACCGGTTTGATTGATCTTTTTGTTCGCATCGAGAAGGAGCTTCATACAGAGTTATCGTTATCAAACACTCGCCAACCTCAGCGGCTTTTCTCCTGGCGAATATAAGGTTGAGCGAAGATGGATGACAGTCATGGTAAAAGCATTTTAGCTAATACTCTCTCTTTAAATGCGTGCAAGCCAAACTAATACATTTGAGCAATTCGAGTGGATCACTATATTTCATCAAGTGCTGTTTAAGAAAACGGGTATATATTCGACAAAAGAGGTCCTGCTCACCATTGGAGACGCGAACCCCTTGCCAGGATCACTAAATTTACGCAAAAAGCTGAACTTTCTTCCAACGAACATATTAATGCCGGTTGCTAACTGTGGATATTTTTTTTTCGAAAATATTCATTTTTTACGTACCTCAGAGCGTTGTTAGTGAAGGTCAAAAGCTAAAGCATTTTGAACTACGAGGTTTGTTGGTTGAAATAAATGAGTTATGGCTTTATTAAGTACTATACAAAACAATTTTACCTGTTTTCAGTAGCTATAATCAAATGTAGCGGTCACTGTAATCGTATATCATAGACAGAACATATGTATACACGGGTAGGTATAGGTTTACCACATCACAAAAAAATCTATTCGTTCCGCATCAAAAATATGGCCGTTCTGTCCTCGAATCTGCGAGGTCTTATGGTCCGGTCATCGTCGTAATTTATGTGTCCCTTCTTCACTACTACCGTCTTTACCACCGCGCACTCATCCTTTAGCAGGTCGCGTTGCGGCGGCCTCCGCATAGCTCACTACACTAACGCGCCGCTTTTTCGCCAACCAAAAGAAAATCGAGAGCTTCTCAAGCTTCGCAGTGACTCTCTCTCTCTCTTTTTTGCTCAGCAACTCTTTTCCATGCACCTATTTACTGCTGCTATGCTATCCTGGCGTAACCATAGTGTCTTCACAGCTGGGTGAGAAGTGCTGGGTGATTCTCGGGAAACAACGCGGAAATGTCGGCCATTGCTAGACTGGGTTGGGGCACAGTGACTGCGGCCGGAACTGGCAACAACCTCGGTGTACGTTGCTGGCATCGTACATTACCAGCAGCAGCAGCACGAAAGAACAGACAGTCTAGCGCGTTGCCGAGGCCGATTGGAAACTGCTGTGTGTGTACGCTCTGTGAGGTCTCAACCGAGGGAAGACCCAAGCGGAAACTTCTTTTTATATAGGTGGGAAACGGTGAGCCAAACGAGAAGAGAAAGCTGGATAGAACAGGAGAAACGGGTGTGGAATGGCGGAGCGTAGGATGTAGTGGACGATAACAAGTGTCTTTATAGCTGGCACAATGCCCTCCACTGCAGCTTCCCGGACGAGCGGACATAGGATGCAAAGGCTCTACCAAAGGGAACTAGAGGCAAGTGGCGGAGAGGGTCACAACGATGGCTCTCGATCAGGGTCAAATGTTCCGGCCCGTTGTACTAAGCACTTACTGTAACTCACTGTTGTCGGAAGGTACCGGTGGCATTTCGACGAGGCTAGGCAGCGTAGTTAGTAAGCAAACTGGGCTACTGGGTAGGTCTAGTCGTCCCAGGTGGAAAGGATAGCGTTAAACTAGATCGTGGTTGCTGCTAAACAGTTGGCAGTAGACCGAAAAAGCACTATTCGTGTTCAGTGATATAGTCGAATATTTGCCAATAAATACGGGTACCTAGCTATTAGGAAGAATAAGCAAAAGGGAAAGTAAGATAGGCACTAGAATACTTTAATTTTTGAGCGAAGCTATGGATTAGTGGTAAAATTGGATTCGGAATCTGATGCCGTGCAGTTTTTTTTTTCTAGTGTCTGATACACAACAACATAAATTATCTGTTTTAATTCACTATGGACTCGTTGTGAGTGCATTTTTCTGGAACCTATCCCGGGGCCCATCTGATCAGCTGATTGAAGGCCCTTATCCAAGGTAACGTACGTCAAAAAAGGGTCGTCTGCCTCCAAAAAAATCCAGCTCCTTAAGATTGTCCATGCACAAGATCTAATATCTAACGCCGACGCCGGATGTAAAAATTCAAAATCATCTATCTATATGCAGCGATAAGTTTGTATTTCGGTATAAACTATAGTGAGTAGTTCCATACGGAATGAAGCGCATAACTCATGCCGAAATCCTGAAAGGGGTCTTCGGAGTAATATGTTATTTAATTAGGTGTTCTTTGTTTTTAAAGCATGTGTTATTTACAGAGCGAAGATAGCGAATTCAACATGATTTGGGCCGGGCGCTCATGACATAATGTATCTTCTAGCGCCCAATAATAAATTAAAGAATACACACTATAGATAGTGTCATATACCGAAAAACATAATCTCATAATCCGCCAACTCGCAAGAAACGCGAATACATCAAGGATCAACAATAAATAACTTAAGTTTGTTAGCTCAGTCGTGTATACCGCATCCAGGTAACTATTCCTATTCCACGTTGCACACATACTAAGAAACTTTATCGACGAACTTCAAAAGTTAGCAGGTCGTGGACCATTAGTGGCCACCTGTTGTACATAAAACCCAGTTACAAAAATCTTCTTACATATTGCACTCTGCATTGCTGCCAGATCTAAATGAAAGGATGCGCTGGGCATAGAATCGATATAAATTAAATCCGAACGATGAACTACTATTAATGATAGACAATAGACATTGTAGGCCTATTTAAGATATAGAAAAAACGTTGCATAGAAGAACTTTACAAATGGACTAACTACGAACCGTAAAGCAAATCACATGAGAACTTTGTTCCCAACTAAAGCGAAAACTATGACGAATAGTATGGATCGGATCTAGAAGTTAGATCTAAACAAAGGCGTACGTTGCAGATCTCTGAGCTGTCATCGAACAACACAGAACTGGTCGTTCTAATCAAACAGTCTTAAATGTAACCCACGCGGATCATGTCGCACCGACTTGC